GGCGGCGCATGCGCGGAACGCTAGCCCCGCCCCGCCCCGCCCTATAAATTCCGCGGCGCGGAGCTCCTCGGTCTCTTTGTGGGCGGCGAGCGGAGAGGGCGGAGGTGAGGTGTCGCCGCGGGGGTAGGGGGCAGCGGGGGCGCCCTGGGCTCCGGGGTTGAGGGTGGCTGCGGCGCTCTGGAGCTAAACCCAACGTGGATATCCGGAGAAGTAGCTCTCTCTCGGCTCTGTCCGTGTGGCGCGGGGGAGCGTAGGCCTTCGGGCCTGTGACGTACAGTCCCTTTCCACAACGTTGGAGAACAAGCCGGGCCTCGGGTCTGCAGCCTGCATATTCCTACTGCTTCTCCGAGTCCTCGGACTGTGACGGAGGAGATAAACCATGCAGGAGACAAATACTGTAACTCGGGGATAGCCTTGCGCTGGGGTTGGGCAGCCGCTGCGCGTGCTTTGGGGAGAAGTGCGAATGAGGTCTAATTTGCAAGCGGTTACTTAAAATATTGTTTTCTTTATTTCAGTTGTAAGCTTGAGAAGCTTGAAGTGAATGGGGCATTGATTTTTCAAGGTAATGTTGCACTAGTAATGTAATATTGTTCCGTGTTTGTAGTTATGCCGCTCTCTTAATAGTTTGTTCTTTAAAGAAGCTTGAACTATACTCCTTTAGCTGGCTTACGCAAAATGAATTGGGTCAACAGCTTGAGGTAATTGAATACCATTATAGACTTGGTAGGCACTATTTAAGAGCGAAAACTTAGCTTTAGATATTTCCCCACTTCTGAGATGTCACAAGACTTTAGATGGATTGGGGGGGAAAGAGAGGTTAACTTCTGAATCTTAAGGAAAAAAATAGAAAAAAATTCGTTTCTGAAGTATGGTTGAATTGTACTTGTGGATTTAGTGAGCTTGGGGCAATCGCCCATGTGCTCATGTTAATCAGTCCTAGAGCAGACTTTAACATCATCTGTGAAGAACAACGTGGATCATTGATCTGGGTACTGGAGCATTGGGATTACATTGAAAGAAGCCACGGGCCACAATTACTTAGGACTGGGAGCATGTGACTGTCCTGTACTTGATACCTGGTACTTGTACCTGATAATGGTGTATTTAATGGATGAGCAGAATGGATTAACAGAATAGATAGAGGTCCCTTGAAAAAATATATGCTAGTATTGTAGCACCCTGTGTGCCCCTTACAGAAGGGGGAGAACAAAAGTGCTTCCTGGCAGATCATAAACAGCAAAAAACCCATGTGACTTGCCAAGTTTTAAGATTCTTTTTTTTTTGTTGTTGAATTTTTTTAACATTGCAGACCCTGACTGAGTGTGAGATGCTAACAGCAGAAAGTAACCTGTCTGCCTAGTGGGATGGTGAGTATGCTCAGAGCACCTCTACCAACCAGAAAATAGAGGAAGTAGATGAGGTCCAATTCATGCAAAGTGTTGAATCAAAATGAGACCGCAGACACTGGAGTAGGCTGGAAGGAGAAGATGTCTGTATTTGGCTTTCTAATAGCATGTGCTCATTCTGGGGGCCTGCTGTTTTCTGCTGTATCAGAAGAAAAGGCCCTGGTGGTTGCATGGCATGCTAACTGTTGAATGTTGCACAGTGAAGCAGGGCCTGCTCAGCAGGGCTGACCCTGCATGGCTTAGCCACGCTCTGAGGAACATAGTGGAGAAAGCCTGTAGGAACAAAGGGCCGTGGTGCACAGCACCTGAAATCAGTGTGCCAGTGCATGTTGTCTACACAAGCTAGGAGAATGCTTGTTAAATGTTTGGATAACCTGTCTGTGGTGCTTAACCTGAAATGGAGCCAGAGAAATGAAGCAAGCCATTGTGAATCTTTCTGGTTGTAGGTGAGATGAATTGTTTGGTGCTGGGGAAGAAGGCAAAAGAGTGTGAGTATGGCGTGAAAGTCATATATAGCTTGTGTTAATGTCTGTTCAGGAAGTTTTGAATTACTTCTGTGAATGTCCTGGAGGTTTGTGATGCTATGCCTGACAAATAAAGAAATTACTTTGAAATGGTGTTGTATGGCTGTTTTTTCTGGCATGACTGTTGGCCATTTGTTCATTCCTTGAAGCTCAGGACCCATGACTAAACTTCTAGGGTTTCATAGCTAATGTAGCAGGGTTATCCTTCGGAAGATCTTTAGAGTCTGCCCAGCGTCATCTCCAGTGATGCCTGCTTTTGAGCTAGGAAGGTCATAGCAGCAGCATGATTATCACTAAATATACTGGTGAGGATACCGATAAATATATGGTATTTTGTATCCTTTACAACCACCAGAGTTCCCTGGTCTGTAGGGTTTGGTGGGGGAGGAGGGTGTGGAGTGCCTTTGCTTTAAGTTCCAAATATCCTTCATACTTTGGGAGATATTTTCTCCCTGCAATTAAGTCAAAGGCTTTAGAGGCTTTTTTTATTCCTGTTGAACCTATGAACCCCTTTGGAACTTTTAACTTAAATGTCAGCAGCTTTGCTTCATAGCTGCAATGTTCCCCACCTGGTCAGTGGAGCATGTATCTACCCCTGGGTGTTGAACATAAGGATGAGTTACACGAGAAACCTGTTTCACAGTCTGAAACAGTGGAATGGGCACAAAGAGCAGAGGGGTGTTTGTCCTGACAAACTTCTAAACAGGAAAAGGGCCTTGAAGGACAAAATACTGAAGGTTGCTGTGGGAGGAGACCTGAAGGGAGCGTGCACAGTCGAGGAACGTGGTAAGAGCGAGCTTGTGGTCGTGAGCTGTAAGTCCAGCTCTGCAGAGCAGTCTGAGAACAGCACAGCTGCCTTGTAAAGTCTGCCTGGAGTTGGCCTAGAGGTGCCACTCATGGGTTAAATAGCTCATGGGCTATTTAACTTGGGAGAATGCCCTTTCTCCTTGCTCTGAGAGTCGATGAACCTTGCTTGAACCGGATGGTGAGGCTGGTGAATGCCTGTGGGGGAGGGTTGGAGGAGCAGTTGTCTGTCTTGGGTACCTGGTTTGAAACTTGCTGGCTCATGGGTTGAATGCTGAGGGTGTATGGGGGTGGTGGGGCTGTCTGCTTGCTCTCTGGAGCTTGAGCTGATCCTGGCAAGACTTGAGGTTGCGCCTGGCTCGGAACTGTGCTGAAGTGGTTGCAGATCACCTCATGGCATGTAAATTTTTCATGGGGGAAAGGGCAAATGCAAATAGATGTGCTTTCTTCTTGACATGCACTTTCCTAGATAGGCTGGTTGTCTTTTTCTAACTCTGAGCTGGCAAGTGCTTGTTTTCCTATTGCATCCTGTCACAAACTGGTTTAAATCCTACACCTGCAAGTGACTTTCACCTGCTTCACTGTAATTCACAACCTGGGCTCCAGCTGGAGCTGCAGTATGACTCCCACTGCCCCTTAGCAGGCCTCAGCCATGGGGTGGGATGTCCTGTCCTCAGGGTGTGAATCTGATTACAACACTTGACATCAAATCCAAGTGTTAAACCAGCAGATGAACAGTAGATCGTGAGTCCTTGTAGAAGTGCAATGTGCGCAAAAGGCTCAGGGACCACAGCCCCAGTTCTTGCTTGGACAATGCTAGTGCATGCCTCCACGGAGAGTTTGGGGTTTATCCTGTTGCCTTGCCTCGCTCAGCTCATGGCACTGTAACGGGGACAGCTAACCCTGCTGTGAGCTCAGTTTGTGATAGGTTGTTTTTTTTTTTTTGTCTTTTTCCCCCTCCCTGTTGCGACCAGACAAAAGTTCAATGGGAACCATAGCCTGGCTGCTGTTCGCAGCTGCCTGCGGCGGCAGGGGCTGCGCTTCCATCCCGGGCTGAGCTTGGGGCGAGGCTGCTCACTGCGGGGCCCGGGGTTTTTTGCCGTCCTTGATAGCTGAGAAGAAACCTCCGTGCGCTGCGCTGCGCTGCGGGGCGGCGGGGGGGGGG